TGATGATAATGATGATGATGATAATGGTGATGATGGTGATAATGATGATGATGATAATGATGATAATGGTGATGATGATGATAATGATGATGATGATAATGATGATGATGATGATGATAATGGTGATGATGGTGATGGTGTGCATGATCATCATGATTACAAAAATGATGATGTTGATGCAATTGATGATGAATTTGACGATAACTACGGTTTAAAGGTTTGTTGGTAAACGTGACGTTATGATATTATGTAATTGTTAAGATGATGTTAAGATGATCGAGTGTTATGATTTCTGTGAAGGAACTTTGATGAAGGAGGATAAGATTACGGACACGATTTTTAAAATTTCTCGTCTTATTTTTAACATAGACGCAGAGAGACATAATGTCCAGGCTTAATTGAGACCTTACACGAGTCGTCTTGAGAAGCATCTCTCCTCCTTCACATGTCAGCAGGCGTGTAAGCAGGGGGGGTTGGGGGTCGAGCCCCCCTCCCTAAATCTTTTTTTGTGTGTGTTTTGGAGGAAACCTCAAAATGTTTTTAATTAAAATATTTAAAAAATTAAATTAAAAACAAATTGTGCTAAAGGGTGACCCCCCCCCCAAAAGAGACCGTACCCCCCCCCCCCCCCCCCCCCCCCACCTAACTCGAAATATCGGTCGGCCAATTTTTCAAATTTCCGAGACAAAAAAAGAAGAAGCATGTGCTCTTAATCTCCAGATTGCGAAGTCCTAATAGTAGGGAATAAGAAAAAGTACAGAAAATGAAAAACTAATACCAAAACACAGCTTTAAAAATACACGGACAACTCAAAGGCCCGAATTCACAAAGGAGGTTTGTCGACAAACCTTGGTTTTCGTACGTCATATGACGCGTTTTACGCGTTTTTTACAAACCTGGTTTGTAAAGAACAAAAGGAGGTTTGAGCTCAAACCTTGGTCTGAGCTCAAACCTTGCTTTGTGAATTCGGGCCTATGTGTGTGTGTAAATACCGCCATCTAGTGCTGTTGGGGGAAAGGGTGAAAAGCAACAATAACAAACGAACAAATAAACCGCGAGTAAGGGTGTTATTGAATTATCTTTTAGTCTGAATCTCTCACATTGTTTTCTACTGTCACATTTTTAACAGTCAGAAAAGGGTTTTCATTTATAAAACAGCTTCAGCTTCCTTTATCGAATATTTTCCAGAAACCATAGTAGTTATCCAAACAATCAAAGTTTGTTTTATATAGAAATCAAGAAAAGTAAATAATACAACCCAGGTTGACAGCTAACATTGAGCTTATAAATCAGCTTATAAATCAGCTATATACATATTTAGTAATCATCATATACAAACACACATAAAGAAAAGCAACAATAACGAAAACAGTAAAGAGTATCCTCAAATAATTTACATACCATGCCCAATCTGCATTTGTATTTATCCATATTACATATTTCATTATTCAATTCCCACATGCATGTAATAAAACATCTCATTTGTATATCCGTGAAACTTGAAAGACATAATTGTTATTGTTTAGATAAGCTTAATTACTACGTGGGAAAAAACATTGAATTAGAAGGTCCACCTTATTATCATCATCTCGATCATTATCATCACCATCAACCTCGTCAGCAGCATCAGCATCATTATCCTTATCATCACCATCATCATCTTGATCATCGTCAGCACCATCAGCGTCATTAATAAATAATATATACATTTTAGATGAGTCTTTTTGAGGGCTTGCTAAATCTTTGATTGGGGCTTTAAACAAAAGGAAATAGAGTGACGTAATCGAGGGAGAGAGAGAATGGGGTAGATCCGCTTCGAGGAGTGAGGGTGTCCGCAACCAGGCGCCAAGAATTGTTGCCAGAACACGTATATGTACACGCAAAAATACACACCCTATGCGCTTATTAGTGTTACCTTAGTAGACTCTTTTTTTTTTTAGATCTTGATAAGTTGTATTGATCAGAAAACACAATGATTTACAAAATATGCGTTACATTTGTTTGCAGAAAAAATAATTGATAATCTTATTGTTTTACATGCACTTACAATAATTTTGTTTTACATTTCAGTGTAACATTAAAAAAAACAAAGCATGATACTTTTGTATACCCCGGCCGCACAAACGATACGACCATCAGACCGACACTAAATGGAAAGAGAGAGGCTAAGAAGTAAAGAGCATTTATAGCCCCCCCCCACCCCACCCCAACCCCCCCCCCCCCCCGTCGGTACGTAGTCGGCCCGGCAGCACCCCCGGGGCATAACGCACGATATAATCTGACCTTCTCTATTACATAATAGAACATACAAATACACCACAACATGAAAAATAAAATTTTGTAACAAAAACAAACAAATTTGTCCCTTGAAACGTTTTGCAATTAAAATAACGTTAATCATTACGCAATGCAGAAATACCTGCTGATGTAGACTTGATGATAATTGCGTAGATATATAATGTAAGCCACAATGTGCACCTCGTGTGCATTTATTTATTTTATTTATTTATTTATTTCTGATATTTATACAGGGTGGCACATGTCACCAATTTGGGGGTCTTCCATGAGGCGTTTGGTAATAATAAAACAAATAACAGCATCAAAAACAAAATAGATATATACACAAGCATATAAACAGGTAAAATACAAATTAATTGGTATCCCCATGAAATAACTGATCATTCAAGAATCATCCTTAATCATTTACAAGAAATAGTTGATGGAATTTTCAAATCAAATACATTTTTTAAAAACGTTCATTTAATAATCTGATATAGCTTAACGCACGGGACACCAAAATAAAACATTGTTATATACATATTAACATTCAATTGCTCTTTAACCCTAATGAGGCCCCACGATTTTTCCGATTGCTCGGGAACACATATGGATGGCACCCCGCCACTCGCTGACTTTTTTCTTACGAGTCTTGCGCAACTTTTAAAAGAATTTTTTTGAAAATCGGACTTTCGGTTACAAGGTCACGTGACCTTTTGTCTTTGCATGTCAGCCCGAAAATCGCTCATTTTCGTGATTTGTGTACAAAACATATGGAAAAGTCATTTTTCCTAAAAACAGATCGAACATGGGTTATTTGGTCTTGTTTAAAGTTTAGGTGGTTGTTTGGGGAGTCAAAATAGTAAGAAATGAAATAAAACAACAAAAACAATGAAATACATAAGTTAAAAAAACAATGAAATACATAAGAAATTATCAAAACAAGGGATAACATGAGGAATAAGCTGGCTCTTCCGAATTTTTTGTCGTATTATTATTAAAAATGGTCTAATGAATATATGAAGTGAAAATGAATGCTTAAATATGAATAATATATGATTTATGAGTAAAAATATGATTTTTATGACTTTATTTGCATAAATTACCATAAATATGCAAATGAGTAAATTTTTCCAAAAATTGAAATTATCATATTATTCTATAAACTTCATTTGACATGCGTGCAAATTTTCGCGGCCGAGATCTTAAGGGGGGGGGGGCATAATGCCCCCCCCCCCGGCCGTACTAAGACCTCAAATAGCCCGGCCTTTTTAGGGTTAACTAATACACTTAGGTTGTTTACAAGAAAGCTGAAAATGGATACATTACATGTATGAATACATGATACAATGATAACCATGGGACGCATGAGACGCTAGAGATCAGTATCGGTAAATGGAACCATAATAATAGGAATCAAAGTCTAAGAACGCGCCGGAAAGAAAGGTTTAGTGATAGATTAAGAGGTGGAAATAGTGGGCTTCCCATTGCCATTATTCCTTTCCTGTGTGAAACCAATATGTTGTATAACTACCGTTATTGAATGGGTTTGTTGTCAAACAATGATTAACCGACCTCGAATCGATCATTCACACCACAGTCACACCGCCAAACCAACTCCACACGAACCCCAAACCGACCGATCCTTGGCCATTCGCAGTACTGAATTCCTTTTGTTCGGCCTGTTGTCGGTGTTGTTGGTGTGACACGGGTTTGAGCCTTTAAACAGTCTGCACGCGGAGAGCTTCATATCTTGTCTATGAAGGGAAAAGGTGATTGTGCATCGTGATGTATCAAAATCGATTTTAGAAAAGGGGAAGGGGTGGATCCGGGGGGGGGGGGTGATTCTCCATATACGGAGTGACTGAAATGAAACTGAAACTGAACTGAAACGGTTATACGACACATGCTCCTTCAACATTTGCTCAGCAGACAAGGCCTTCATAACCAAATATTGCATTTCAGCCCGACAGATAGTATACCTACCTATAACCCTAACCCTAAACAACATGATCGAAACTAATTTCGACCAATAAATGAAGAGCAATATCAAAACCCTTTTGTATATCATATAGAAATCATATGCTGATAACGTAATGCATCATTCTAATGTTCCCGTATTTCTAAATGGGATGGACGAAGCTATTAACATTTCCTTAGGTCGATTTTTAGAAAGTAGATGCGATCAAGCTAACCCTAACTTTATCCCCTAGATAGAGACACACAGAATGCTCCATGGCAAGGTGTCAGCAAACGTAAAAATATAGCGCATTTGACCGTAGCGCAGTGGGTTGGGGTAGGGGGTGGGGGTTGGGGGGGGGGGGTGGGGGGCAATGCGTTGCCCCTCCTGACATATGTCCTACCAAGTAAGATAACCATGGCAACTGTATAGATTATTCAAGTACTGATGAGGTATTACTTTATCCCTAAACAAAAAGACGCCGAAGATAACGTGAAACATTTTCTGAAAAGACTTACTTTTTTCCTCTCACCCAAATTATAAGTAATTTTTTATCGATAACCTCCTCCCCCCCCCCCCATTCCCCCTACTAAACGTAACGCATACTAACAGTGTAGGGATGACAGGAAAGTATTGTCCCTCCTGAAATCAAGGTCTGGATACGCCACTGCTTGGTGCATGCTCTCTGAAGCCAGGCTCGATCCAAAACAGGAAGCATGTGATGACTTATTATCAATACCCAACAATTGGAACTGGACTGTTTTGACTGCGCACTAGCTTGCTTGGCAGCTCGACAAACTAGTTGGGTTCAAGAGAGAGATCGGAATAGACCTAATGCCAACCCTCCCTAGGCTCCCCACCATACAGTTATGGCGTAACGCGATGTGGACAACATTTCATTGCTGACGCTAATTGCGAGAAAGCCTTGCAGAAATAAGTGGAAAGGTTGGATCTTCAATTAATTCAGACACCAGTTCCAGTGAGCTTCTTGTACGTGAACGATCTCGTGAACCACCACGATGACGATGACGACGACGAAGGCATGGATGATGGTTGTAGTGATGGCTGTGGTGGTGGTTATTGACGGGACCAGTGAGTATTATCTCCTGACAGAGAATTATGAACGCCTGGACGTTGCATGCCCGCGAAGCGTTATTTGCCTGACGTGGAAATGCGCCAAGGACTGTCACAGGCTTTGACGCGCCATGCAGAGAGTGAATGTGTAATGAATAGTGCAAACATTGTCTTGACTTGACGGGCGGCGTTATTTTTTTCGGCGGCACAGATTGGGGTTAGGTGCGTGTTGAGCCTATGGGAAAGTTTAGGATTAGGGTTAGGGTTAAAACAAGACCCCTTTACAAAAAAAGCCCCAATCTGTGCCGCAGAAGAAAGTAACGCTACCGGGCGTATAGGCTAATTCCTTTAAATGTGTGATTAGCACAAGTAATAACGCAACCACCGAAGGGCGCCTCTTGTGCTACGGTCTCTAAAGCGCTTTGACTTGTTTTTTATTTTATCAAATTTTACTGGCATAATGATTTATGTGGTTATTGTTTTTATTTCGAAATCTCAACCGTGGTTCCTTTGTATTATATTATTCAGGAATTGCTTTGATAAGTATTAGTCATAATAAAACTTTCCATACAGTCATAAATAGTAACTATAGGCCTTCAGTAATGGCCTACTCGATTTCCCCAAAACCCAGACAAGGAAATTGATTTCCGAATGAAGTCCCAGGCAGAAGTTAGGAGAGAAAAGGAGAGAAAAAAATCCTTTACCACCTTCTCCAACAGCAAATGCAACAGCCGTAGGAAGAGAAGTCGTATCGTCTTCCTTTGGCGCACCCTTCCCCCGCCTCTGACCTGTTTTTCTCTCCATACCCTCTATCTCTCTCTTTCTCTCTCTCTCTCTCTCTCTTTCTCTCTCTCTCTCTTTTTCTCTCTATCTCTCACTCTCTTTGATTAACTCTCCCCTCCCAGATACACCAGCTTGAATTAATCCCCATATCAATATAATCAAAAAGGGCATTTCATGAATTTGTCACAAGTAAAAATTAAACTACTGGCTCTCTCTTCCTCTATTTTGCAGAAGCACTTGACATTCCGAGTACGATCGGGAATGATTTTGTATTCGGTATACCATCGGACTACGTCTATCGGCGTAGCTCTTCCAAACGTGTCTTTCTGTCGTCACACAGTGGCCAAACTGTTACTGCTACGATTGTCACTTCTGGTAGCAACTTCCGCCATGTCGTTGAGGTACCTGGTGATCGTGAACTTAGGGTTGATCTACCAAGTTCACTTACCTCACGTGGCACTGGTTTGAAGCAGAATGTTGTTGGAATACGAGCTGATGGTGACCTGAGCGTTCATGTCCAAATAGAAGCAGGGGTAAACTCTGGAGCCTTTACCCCTCTCCCTACCAGAAGTCTTGGGAACGACTACATCGTAGGTATCTACGAGCCACTGACTCTAAAACACACTAAGTACAAGGCAGGCTTTACCGTGACCGCGACGGAAACGGGCGCTCTGTTACAAATCAGGTTCAGTCAGATAGTAGCATTTGGCCACGTCTTATATGGTCCTCATGATGTCTTTAAGTTTCAGCTTGGGGCATTTGAGTCCCTGCAAATCATGAGTGACAAGGACCTGACAGGTTCACGAATCAAGTCGGATCAACCCGTGGCGGTTGTGACCGGAAGTGAATGTTCGCGAGTCCCGAAGGGAATCAAGTACTGCGACTACCTATTTGAGCAAATGCCGCCAGTACATACCCTTGGGAAGCAGTTCATCGTGGCGCCATTTAAGGACAGAGAAAGCAGCTATGTTCTTCGAATCGTCGCCCCTTTCAATGACACCAACATCATCTTTTCATCCCCACATGCAAATGATGTGCACCTCAACGAAAACCAACACCACGAATTTATATTTACCCGTCATGTCGAGCTCTCGTTCCGATCAACCGAACCCGTTCTGGTTCTGCAGTTCATGAAAGGTTTCCAATCTGGAGATTTCGTCGGGGACCCGTCCATGGTCGTCATCCCACCCGTCGAGCAGTTCATCGTCGGGGACTTGTCTCTCACCTCTATGGACAATGATCACGTCACCGTGATGGTTACAAACTCGAACATCAGCTTATCCGGACTGCGCGTGAACGGTAACCTCGTTGGTCGCGATTCGCCAGACTGGCGTGTCATTGTAGAGGATGATGTCTCAAGTGTCCTCCATGGAACCTTACAATCGGGTCGTCACACCATCGGCCATACTGATCCTCAAGCAAGGTTCTTGGTGATTGGCTATGGAACGGGGTACCTGAGCGGACGAGCATTCCCTGTGGCGTATTATCTTAAACGATTGTACGTCCCGAGTACAGAACCGCTGTTCATTCCTCCAACAGGTTAGTTGATACAATATAATATGTTAGCCCTGTGGTGGATTCTTTGACGGAGCAGGGTGGATGGACCCCCCCCCCCCCTAAAAAAAAAAAGCAACAGTGCATAAAAGACAAATGTGCCCCTGTCAAGTTTGAGACCCCAGACTTTCACTTTAAAAGTGTGATAAACCTTTTTATTTTTATCTTATTTTTTACAGTACGATTGTATTGCACCCCCTAGCTTTCCTCGATCCACAGAGCTCTTGATCCACACCTGATAAATACATCGTTTGTTGAGAGCCAGTAGGACTTTAACTCACCTGATTGTACACATAGCTAACGCTCTTCTGGTTCTCAGAAAAGGATACACCAATTAAAGATAAACTTGAGATCTGGTAAAAAAAGAAAATGAATTCTCACAGAATCTAACGAAAATTACACTGAATGTTCAAGAATACAAATAAATGTCATGTGCTAAACAATTTTGGAAGAAAATGTATACTGGCTGAGTAATGAGCATAGCAAGATAAGGAAATCAAGGTAGTACTAACCCCGACACCATTTGTGTTGTCCCGTATACTTCTTTCTGTGTACAGTGATTATTACTTACCAAGACTGGGCCAAATTTATGATGATTTTGATGACTCCAGAACCTTGCATTACACACCAATCAACTTTTCTGATCGATTCCACACCTTTTCTTTCACAATGCAATCACATTACCAGAACTCACCTTTATCTTTAAGCAACCTTCCTTAATTTATATTTACAAAAATTACAAATTTAAATTTAAATTAAGTTAAAAATTACAAAACTCTTATTCACTCATTCTTAAACACATACGATTCTACCCATGTATTTGTCCATATATTATATACAAGAACACACACGCACATAAACGCACGAAATGACTGACTCGTATTCTTTACTTATAATAAATGTATTGCTCAACAGTCAAAACAAGCTAGTGACTTATATTTCTTTCTAAAGGTGTTCAGAGTAGGGCTTTCTGTTATGATGTCATTTAGATAGATTTATTTGTTCTTACTTGGGGTGAATGATATTTCTGAGATCATTTTGTATCTGTTTAGGTTACGAAGTGCAATGTTACAACTCCTCAATGTCTATCACCCTGGATACATCGGTCTTTCTCGTTCACGGTCCCGATGATGTCACCCTCAACGATCCTTCCTGCAAACACGTGATCGTCCAGGAGGGCATCGTCATGCTTACTACACCCTTCGATTCGTGTGATACTCGAGTTCAGGTAACACAGAATGTCTGACCAGGGAGCGTTTCACAAAGCCTTTTTTCAATGACAAATAACAGAAATCAGTGACAAATCTGCTAATAACCAATCAGAAGCAAGGATTTCAGTAGCTTATAACACAAATTGTCATTTGTCACCCATGACAAGTTTTGTGAAACGCCCCCCGCCCCCCAGGGCCCTGTTTTACAATTCTTGTTATCAAAAACAAACTACAATAGCTACTGAAATAGTTGCATTTGATTGGACATTGGCAAGTTTATGAAAATGTTTTAAAAGTTATGAAAATGTGACAGCTGTTATTCATGATAAATATTATGAAACAGGTGCCAAGTCATGCGGCTGGTAGATTGAATCATATTTTTCGTCTCTACAACAACAAACAAAAATGTGAAAATAATTTAGAAAGTGAAGGGAAAGGAAAATAGATCGTTCCCTCCTTCAGTCGCAGAAAAAGCCAGAATCGGCTACTACTCGGTAATGAACTTGTAATCAGTCGTACGAGTGGTATGTCAACTTGATTCGTTGGGGATCGTTTATACCCTATAATTTATATTACCAGACATTGCCTCATTTGGAATTTGAGTCAGGAAGAACTTATTTTGAAAGTCCATATCCAACCCATTTTTCTGTTACAATCCAGTCGTAGTCATAATACGTGATGACCTTAACGAATACTCATTTGGAAAATGCCTGTAGCAATTGTGATGTGTTTTGATAAAGAATATTCCGTTTCTTTAAATCAAACACTCCGTCTGATTAGGAGCAAGGAGATTCTGTCACGTTCTCCAACACCCTGAGGTTCGCCGACCATGTCATCACCCCTGACTCTCCCCTTCGCTACCTCTCCTTCAAATGCGAATCGGACCAAGCAGGAATCAGCGGGATCTCACCACTTACCGGAGGTCGCCGAGAACCGAGCGCCCTGGTCTTGTCCGATGCTGTCCTAGGTGACCTGTCTCTTAGCCTCGTCCAGTACATGGATGATGCCTTCGGGACATCAAGCAATGCCTCCTCAGGGACAGACCTGTTTGGGACATGGATGGAAGGGGTCCAGCCGGGGCAGAACGTCTTTGCGGTGAACCTGACGTCCTCAGTGGATGCCAATGTGTTTGTTGATTCGTGCTGGACCACTCCAGGACCAGACGCTCAAGACCAGGACTCAACGTCTCTCATCCAGGATGGGTAAGTCCCGCCCTTCCCCCCTCCCCACTCAGTTCTATGTAGGGTACGCATATGCGTGTTCCCTCCTTTTGAAAACACCCCCTAAGTCCGGTGTATAAAGTCAATTTTGTGTATGTACGAGCCGGACTTTGGTGCGTGAAAAGTACCCCTTTACCGGACATTTTGGTAACACGCATGCGGTCATTCCGACCCTGGAGTGGGGGGGGGGGGGGAGGGGGGGGGAGGGGCGGGGGGTATACAAGATGATACTGTGTTGCTGGTCGATAAATTGGTATAAGAGGTAGGGGCTAGGGGGTTCCCCCTCCTCCTTTAGAGTTCAAAGTTACCAATGTGTTTGGCTGTTTGGCGGCAGCTGCAATTACCTCTATTTAGACTTTATCTAATCTATTATATTTTGTTGACAGCGTTACATTCTCACAACATTCAAGTGACCAACACAAATCCTTTCCCTGGCTCACAAAGATAGAAAATAGATAGCCTCAAGCCTTGAGTAGACAGAAATAACCGTCTAGTATGGGAATTTTAATTGAACTTATATTTGCAATCGGTACAAAGGTGGTCAGGAAATAGAGCAAGATGTAGTCTCAATTAAACCACCGTGGGTATAAGAGAGTGAAGTTTTCGGTCTACCAAAGCCCCTGCCAACCCCAACTATATCATAAAGCTTTGACTAAAATCATCTACACATATCATATGCGTACATGATTCTCTCTCTCTTCTCTCTCTCTCTCTCTCTCTCTCTCCCTCTATCTATCTATCTTCAACGATTCACACATTTTGGTTTTAATCATCAAATTATGTAAAAGTATATCGCCGCGAATTTTCTTCTTTCGATTGTGGTATTTATGATAACATGCATATCGCATCTTTACTGGTTGATTAACACACGAATGTATTTCGATTATGAGCAAACTTCTGATAATTTGGTCTTAATTACTCAGGATAGCCATATCACGTATTAATACTGCAGGCGCTGCAATTATAACTATCACCCCAGCATTTACAGGTACCAATTTGATAGTGACACATTTTGAATTAATGCCGTGCCAAAAGATGTTATGTTGGTCTTGGATTCGAGCCCTCAACCTTTGGATTGAGATCGAGCCAAGTGAAGTAACCACTATACCAAGACACCTCCATCCACCCGAACTTTTCATTGGAAGATGCTTCTGCCTTTGTTCAACATGATTTTTGACATACATGTACTTTGGGCAAACGCTATCATCTACAGCAGAAAACTAACTTGTTTGTTTATTGTTGTCGCACATGTTTTGTTTTTTTTGTTTTTTTATTTTATAATCATACCGGTAAAATATTTAAGATTATTGCATCCTTAATTTTCAGCTGTGAGATTGATGATACCATCCATATCGGAGCCTCGGCCGATGATCCTCGATTCAGGCCGATAGCAGTCGATGCGTTCAGCCCCATTGGAGAGTATAATGAGGTTTGTATAGGCCTTTACAAGAATGTTGTATTGCCCTTTAGGTGCCAAAACAGGGGTCGGTCGGGATTTTTTTTTTTTTTTTTTGTATAACTTTTTTTTCTTTTTTACTCCCTCTTTTGGCTGATATTTCTCAGTTTTGAATGCTTTAATATTTGTTTTCCTCTAAAAAACGGTAAAAAAAAAAACTTTTTTAAAAAGCCGACCATAGAGTTCAAGATTTTGGGGTCGGTTGCATAGGGCAATACAACATTTTTTGTTAGGCCTAATAGAAATCGCCTGTGAGATAGAGGGAGTGGAGGCTACAGTGGTAGAAAGTGTGATCAAGTGAGAGAGAGGGGGACGGGGAGGGGACGAGAGATACAGGGAGAGATTTAGAGGGAATGGGGAGAGAAGGAGAGACGAAAAGATAATAATAGAAGGATTTATTATACATGTAGATATAAAAGCAGAGATGGAGAGAGAGAGATAAAGAGATTGGGGGCGGGCTAGGGCAAATGACATAACTATAGGAGGTAGATGGGGGGAAAGATAACAGAAAGGGATAAGGGCACAAGACGAGATGGAGAGAGAGAGAGAGAGATAAAGAGAGAGAGAGTGAGAGAGAGAGAGAGAGTGAGTGTTTGTCGAAGGGAAAAGGGGTGAGGGGAGAAGATAGAGAGGTAAATACAGAGATGAAAAGACCAAGTTGCCAATTCTTATACTGTTTTCTTTTCTATTTTATGCAGGTATTCATGCATTGTCGTGTTCAAGTGTGTCGTGGCCAGGAGTCTGCGGCTCACTGCTGGCAAGAGTGTAGACGAGAACCTCGTAACAGACGACATATCCGCGGAGTACGAGAAATGTACACCATTTCGACTGGACCAATCAAGGTCAAGTAATAAAAAGGAAAATCCCAATTCATCGGTTTTGTAACTTTATTTCATGGCAGACGCAGAAGAACGTTGATGACAGTGTAGGGGGGGGGGGGGGACTCTAACAAATTGAACATGCAGGCAGTGTTTCTGAAAGCAATGAGCACTCATCATTCACTGCTTCTCTCGATGCTAATAGTAGCACTACCCCCGGGGGGTAAACTAAATTATCTGCTGCATAATTACTTTTAAATCCAATAATTTATAATAAACACAATCGTAAACTGGTAAAGACTTCCAAGCAATCAACTCGCGGTCAATGGCCCCTGATGTAACAAGTCACAATACTAATGTTCGCATGGACAGTAATGAACAGGGCTTTTGAATTTTGCCTTTTAGGTTGATTTTTCGAAAGTCTTAGCGATCATGTTCTTAAAGTCATGGATTTCGGAAAGCATATTGAGTGTTCACGATGCGGTGACCGACATGCAGTTAAGTTATAGCTAGGAGATGAAATATTCGCAACAAAACTAAACAATATTTATTCCATGTGTGTCGAGTATCACTGATCGTGAGCCCTGTACTTCATGCCCTATCCATGTATACAAAGAAAGAGCTTCAATTCTAGTTTCGAAATTGTTTGCAGTTATTTGAAAGTATATATATAGGCCCCTGCCCGTGTATCACGGGTTACTGGACATGTTCTTGTAGAATGATTGTGTAAGTCTTGAAACGATCTACGCAAATAATATGTACAAAGCTATAGATCAAATGTATGTAGTTAGATGTGTAGATAAAGTATGATTTCAGATCAATATTATGTAATATATTATGTGAAGTATTTATGCACAGATTTGTATAAAATACGTATGAATAAATATGATTTCATGTGATGTGACAGATCATTAAATAAATGTTATCATCCTGCTTGACTGATAAAATGCAAATCACATACTGTACCTCAAAAAGACTGTCATATTTTGTTCGGGGGGAGGGGGAGGGGGGTGTTGAAGGTGGGTCTTTCTTTTCCCTAGCCCACTTCAATTTAACACAAGGGTCTTTTGCACCAGAATTTTGATTAATTAAAACTCAGAAGATCAGTCGCTAGTCTGAAACAGACTAACGACTGATCTTTCTTTTATCCCCTCTTCTTCTTTACTCTGCACACAAGTTTGGATAACCCGATTTAAACTTAAACATTTATGATGTCTACTATAGTAACAATTAAAACAATTTTGACTATATTTTCCCTCCTACTTCTTTTCGCTTTGTTTCCAGCTTAATCATCCATTCTCTCTCTCTCTCTCTCATTCTCTCTCTCTCTCTTTCTCTCTCTCCCTCCCTCTCTGTCTGTGTACTTCCACTTTCAACCCCTTCTTTCCCTCCCAATCTTTCTATCTCACCCTCCCTCTCCCACCATTTCTCTCTCTCGCACACTAACACAAATTTCTTGAATTGCTTCTAATATAATTATGCAATGTAATTTCATGGTCTTTGCCTAGATATCAAACAAATAACATACATGTAATACTATCAAAAACATATCAAGTGAGAAAAGAGGAATTAATTCAAATGTAAGTCAGATAAAATTCAAAACCAGTGAATCTCTTGTGTATGTACATTTATTAATCCAATATCTTGATTTCAAGTCATCATGATTACTATAATATCTACATTCAAAATGACCAAGTCATGTGACATTTCTAACTCCATAATTTGCACAAGGAAAACAAGTAACATAAAGTCCACAAAATACACATGAGGTGATTGGCTGTATTTCAGAAAAAGTGACTGGGATGCAAAGAATTCCCAGATAAAAAAAAAATATTCTTGTTCTCGATGATTAGGCCCAAATGCCAGCCCATGGAGTTCCAAAGGTGAACATTTAAGAAAACAAATACTATTATAGAAATGCACCAACCCAATCCAGCGGGCATTGAAAGAAGAGCAGATTTACTTGAGTGCATGATCATACATAATGTTATGAAGAGTTGTACACAATATGAACAAGAACAGGCAAAGTCTTCACATATAAAAACTAAATTTTGGAAACTCAAAATCCTGCAATCTACCAACATTTAGTCCTGATGCTGGGCCTAAGATTTTGTTCAAAATCTGGTTTTACAAAGGAACTTTCCTAGTCTGAAGAATACTTTGCATGGTGGCTAATAACACCTGCGCGGTGTTTCGTAAAGCTGTTCATAAAGTTACGCATGACTTTACGAAAGACTTGAATATGAACTGCCAGATAGGATGCCCAAAATTTTTCCTGATGTTTTAACAAAGTGTGACTATATTTCCAATAACCTCAATTAAATTATGGCAAAAAATATACTTTGCATTAAAAATGTTTGTAACTGCAAGGAAAAGGTGCTATATCAAATATCTTTTGGATTGGATTGGATTCAAGTTCAGTTGATGCAGTTACAAATGATTGAGCATCTCATTTGGCTATTCATATTCAAGTCATTCGTGAAGTCATGCGTAACTTTACGAACAGCTTTATGAAACAACCCCCTGCTTATGTTGTACATCTAAAAGAGCATTGAAAATGAAGGTCCTTCCACAGTCACTCTAACAAATTCTGTTAATGGCCGTTTCGCTTGACCCTTTCGCTTGACCCTTTCCGATGATCCTTCAGACATTTTGGAATAGATTCACTTGTATGCCAATATCTCTTCATTTTAACCGATTGCCTAGTGAACTCTCATTCTCATAGGCTTAGTACACAATCCATCGGGGCCCTGTTTCATAAAACTTGTTATCAATGACAAACGCTAAATTTCTATGATAAATTTACTTTCAGCCAATCAGATGCCACGATTTCAGTAGCTTATAACAGTAGCTTGTAACTTGTTATTGATATCAAGTTTTATGAAACAGGGCCCAGGTTCCCATAGGTAATGGGCTAAAGGCACACTGTCCTACTTGTAGCTACTTGCTCCCTCTATATAGAAAACTTCCCCAATCGGTGCCTATCGGTCCCCCATGATCCTCTTTTTCTTATATTAAATGAGAGCTGAGTTAATGAGATAGCCACCTGTCACAGTGACCTCGCTGGCTCGCTGGGTGATCTAATCACTCTGGCTGAAGTAGTAAAGCCTGCCTCATGTTGAAAATTTGTTACTGGCTTCGCAAACCTATGTATGTCCTTTTATAAATTTAATGCTTCCCGGGAGAAATTTCAATCGTTTAAACACATTTTTGGCTTTATATCCAGTGCTGAGTGGCGAAGAAAGAAACTGAATAGCTAAGCTTTGAAAAGAGGTTGGATAATTACACCTGTACATGAATCACAATTTCCAACTTCACAATTCAGGACTCCTCAATCCTCTCTCTCTCTCTCTCTCACATGGTGCACCCGCAAGCCTACTGTATAATTTCCAATTAGTTCAGTTATAAATAAATATCTTACGCATGCCCATTCCAAATTTGATGTCCATTCCAAATTTGATGGGCATTGATGGTGTATTCTTATATACATTATTCATCTCTATGTATCTCATATGTAAAGAGAACTTTGTGAAAAGAGCACAAAGCACAATATGCACATGTACGTGTAGACTGTACATATATGTACAACTATAATAAGAAAAGGAATATACATGTATCGATCATTCATAAGAGAAGAATATTTAGCTTTTTGGCATTTACAAAGTTAGTATTGACAAAAACTATATACATGACAGAAGCAACAGTCAGTAAGAATTGGAAAGCAATACATTTTATGTATCTGGGAAAATTGAATAACCTATCATTACAAATTAAATTGATACCAAGCAAATTATAGAATTGAGAAAAGGGAGAAAGAGTGTTTATGAATTAAATTGGTAGAATATATATTTCATATTGGTCCATAAGTGATGAAAACTCATGTAAAAACACTGAATTTCCATCTAGACCGCAGATTGTAAGACGTAGGACTAAGTCTAAATACATCACATATGTATGAACAGTATGATGTACTTAAATGTATTACTACATGTAATTTAAACATAACACAAAGAACCTTCACTCAATGGTACTGCCATTGATCGGTTTACATTCATCCACACCAGAGCAAATAATGTGGTCATATTCAGATTCAGCAGTTTCAGCCCATTTAGACTCCAAACATTATAAAGATCAAATGCTCTTCTCGGAGCCAGAAGGGCATTAACTCTGTGTTCAGTAGATGACTTAAAGCCCTTCCGGCTCCAAACAGACAAAATGATTAAATAAGACAGTAATTTGATAATTTCAGCAAAAAACTACTGAATTTATGACAGAGAGATCACATAATTTCACAATTCAGCATTCAAGAGCTGTAGCATGTAATTACTCATCTTGATTTTTGGCAATGATGAATAGGGACATCTCCACTGTGTCTACTCCTCCATTACATCATGATGTTACCCCCTTGACTGCTGGCTTGTTATATTCCCCATGTGTTTGATACAGGAATTACCGGGTTCCAGTAGGCAATGTGTTAAGAAAGTAGATGAAGACAAAGGATCCTCGGTCACCAACTAGTAACATGCATTTTTGGAGGAACAGACCAAATGTGATGTGGGGGGGGGGGGGGTTCACAAAACTTGTCATCAGTGACAAATGACAGTTTTTGTTATAAGCTACTGAAATCCTTGCTTCTGATTGGTCATCAGCAGATTTGTCACTGATTTTTGTTATTTGTCATTGAAAAAAGGATCCATGGTCAATTACTCAACTTGCTTTTGGCAACAGTGATGGGTATTATTGGGATGGAGTGGACTTCAAGAGTACCAGACAAGATTCATCAACTCTTGACCAAAGACAGGTTAAGTAATCAGGGAACCCGTTTCACAAAGCCTTTTTTCAATGCCAAATGACAAAAATCAGTGACAAATCTGCTGATAACCAATCAGAAGCAAGGATTTCAGTAGCTTATAACAAAAACTGTAATTTGTCACTGATCACAATTTCTGTGAAACGCCCCCCAGATGTCTCTTCAGGTGATTTGATCTTCAGCCACTTCATTTCCCTTCTTTCTTGCTCCTCCATAGTCAAGTTGCAGGGGCAAGATCACAATTTATGTCTAAATCAACAGTCCAGACTTACAATAGACTCCTCAATAGACCAGTTGAGTTCTAATTCAATCCTTAAAATGTCTCTAGTTCACACATGAGTTAAATCATGGAACTCCGAATACTTTTGGGAGGGAACTATTCAAAGATCCATGAACTAACTAACCAACCAATCAATCTGAAGCAGCCTCCATTGTCATTGTCACTCATTGCAGATTCATGTAGATAGGCTCTAGTCTAGACCTGCAGAAGGTCAGTTGCATCTAAATGTACATTAGAAAAAAAATTACACATACAGATACATGTTCTGACGGCCTCGGTTTAAAGTCTCCACAAGCCTTCCTGGCCCACAATAAATTCCCTTATCCTCTCCACGCCTTCCTCAAAAATGCTTACATGCGTTGCGACAGCCTTGGTTCATGGCCTGGTTCTAATCAATGGTCTAAACATGAAACAGGTCAGCAGTGTCACTGTCCACATTAATCCTTTGAACACCTTCCTTACTGATGAGTATTGTGACTGGGTTCAATTCAGGCTCAGAGAACAAATTGCAAGGTCAAATCTAGACTGCGAAGATTCAGTAGCATCCACAGCGATTCTTTACAGGCCTTCTTCAACAAATTGCAAGGTCAAATCTAGACTGCAAAGATTAAGTAGCATCCACATTAATTCTTTACAGGCCTTCTTCAACAAATTGCAAGGCCAAATCTAGACTGCAAAGATTCAGTAGCGTCCACATCAATTCTTTACAGGCCTCCTTCAACAAATTGCAAGGTCAACTCTAGACTGCAAAGATTCAGTAGAGTCCACATCGATTCTTTACAGGCCTTCTTCAAGAAATCGCAAGGTCAAATCTAGACTGCGAAGATTCAGTAGCGTCCACATCAATTCTTTACAGGCCTTCTTCA